GATTTTGAATAGGAGATGTCAATGAGTATTTTAGTGTCGGGATTGATCAGAATCTAACTTGAGAAGGGTGATTGCGTGTTTCATAAAATTTTGATAATTGATGGGATTGACGAGAATAAAATTTGAGAGGTTTTAATACGTGATTATTGAATAAGAAAATGATAGTGGTGTGAAACTGCAAAGATGTCAAAATTGGTATAAACTTGAGGGGAAAAGACGGTATTTTGAAATTTTTTTTTTTATGGTGAAAAAGTCATTAAAGGGTGGGAAAAAATCGTTTATTCTGTATAATAATAATCCGGAAGGAACGGAATTATAACTCACAGTATCAGTACTGTTGGTAACGGTACTCGGAGGGGGCGCAGGCGCACTTTCATAAAGAAGAGTAGTGGGAGTCACGCGCTCCCACGACATGAAGGGAGGAAAGTCATATAAACGAAGCGGTCGACGCCCACAATTTCTCCAATCCCTACTTTCACGTGACTTCACACTCAAAGTCCCACTACATATCTAATCCAGCTGCTCCGCAACAGCACATCGCCACCGTCCCCAGTTCCCTCCTTTTCCAAAACCCTACCAACACTGCAAATGTTACACAAATGACAACCAAAACGTCACCGTTGCTCTCCCTCCTTCTCCTCCTTTTCCTCTCTTCTACTGCCACAACCTCCGCCCAATATCCACCATTAACGAACTCACTTCTTCCATCCGACGCTGTTTCGTTACTTTCCTTCAAATCACAGGCCGACTCAGATAACAAGTTACTCTACGCGCTTAATGAGCGTTACGATTACTGCCAGTGGCAAGGCGTAAAATGCGCTCAAGGCCGGGTTGTGCGCTTCGTTCTTCCCGGTTACGGTCTCCGAGGCACTTTCCCTCCCAACACTTTAACTCGCCTCGACCAGCTCCGAGTCTTGAGTCTACCCAACAACTCGCTCACCGGTCCGGTTCCCGATTTATCTCCACTTGTTAACCTAAAGTCTCTTCTTTTAAGTCACAACTTCTTCTCCGGAACCTTCCCGCTTTCCATTCTATCGCTCGATAAACTTACTGCCCTTGATCTGTCTTATAATAAACTAACGGGTTTAATTCCAGTTAACTTGACCGGTCTAGACAGGTTATACTCTCTTAAGCTAGAGTGGAACCGGTTTAACGGAACGCTTCCACCCCTGAACCAATCATTTCTTGTAATGTTCAATGTTTCCGGTAATAATCTCAGTGGACCGATACCGTTGACGCCTACTTTGTCTCGGTTCGGCACGTCAGCGTTCTCATTGAATCCGGATCTCTGTGGTGAGGTTATTAACAAAGCTTGCAGTTCACGACCACCGTTCTTCGAATCACCGAACGCCACTTCCCCTCCTGCACCGCTCGGTCAAAGCGAGCAATCACGGGGAATAGAAGTTCTAACTCCGCCGTCCTCACCAACGCATCACAAGAAAACAGGTTTAATTATCGGGTTCAGCATCGGTTTTATCTTGTTATTTTCATCCGTGTTGTGTATTTTCTTAATGGTCAGAAGAAGAGGCAGCGAAAGAAGAAACACAAAAGAAACAGAAACGCAGTCGTTTGACAACACGAATACTTACCCTGAGCCAGAAACAACTTCAAGAATAGCTGTTGAAGAAAACAAGTTCCGAGTAGAAACAAAAGCGAACAAAATCCAAGTTGAAGAAATTTCAATATCACAGAGAGTGAAAAAGAGCGGGAGTTTAGTGTTTTGTGCCGATGAATCTGAAGTGTACAGTTTAGAGCAACTAATGAGAGCTTCGGCTGAGTTGCTAGGCAGAGGAACCGTTGGGACAACATACAAAGCCGTACTTGACAACCAGCTGATCGTGACAGTTAAAAGACTTGATGCTTCAAAGACCGCCATTACCAGCGCTGAAGTGTTCGAGCAACATATGGATGTTGTCGGTGAGCTTAGGCACCCCAATTTAGTGCCCATTCGAGCTTATTTTCAAGCTAAAGGAGAGAGGCTTCTTATCTATGATTATCAACCAAATGGTAGTCTCTTCAATCTCATTCACGGTACGTATGAAATTTTCTTCCTTTGGTTTTTCTTTACTCAGTGAGTCAGGGAGCTCCCGAGTTGACTGTAGTTATTTCTGCTTGGCGTGGGAAATTTAGACAAATTAGCGGAAATGCAAGTGTAATTGCGTTTCTGACGTGGCCACTGTGCCCGGAAGAGTGGTATGTGTTTGTGACGTGGAGTGATGTTATTGGTTGAGGAGGAAGCATTCTTGACCATAGGCTAAGATATGGTGATGAGTCGTGATGAGTGTCGCAGCTTTTTAGAATTTAAGACTTTTGGACCCAATTCCATTGTTGATTGCACCCATGCCGACAGTCACGGCATCGTTTTCTATAATGAAAATGAAAAAGTATTGGGACACACCCACCCACACAATGCTCGCTAATGAATAATGACCAAAATTTGAAATAAATAGTTGACTTGACCTTTGTTGCTTAGGGTCAAGTTTTCTTCTGTTCTGGCTGAGGTTTCATGTTAACTAACCTCTTTGATTTTGTTGTATGAGATTAATGAGAATAGTTGTTCTTATAGTAGCAGGTTGATCGTTGTCCAATATTAATTAACCACGTTTCATATTCTTTACAACTAAGAAGAAGTTGAAAATGTGATAGGTTCAAGATCAACAAGGGCAAAGCCTCTTCATTGGACATCATGCTTAAAGATAGCAGAGGATGTGGCACAGGGCCTTGCTTATATACATCAAGTATCAAGGCTAGTTCATGGCAACTTGAAATCCTCCAATGTCATCCTTGGAGCTGACTTTGAGGCTTGCCTCACAGACTATTGCATCTCCATCCTTGCAGACTCTTCTTCTGTTGAAGATCCCGATGCTGCAGCCTATAAAGCGCCTGAGACTCGCAAGTCCATCCGCCAAGCCACCCCCAAGTCGGATGTCTATGCTTTTGGGGTCCTCTTACTGGAGCTTTTGACGGGTAAACACCCGTCACAACATCCGTTCCTTGCGCCCCATGATATGCTTCATTGGGTCAGAACAACGAGGGACGACGATGGTGGGGATGGTGACCAACTTGGAATACTTACTGAGGTTGCTAGTGTTTGTAGCTTGACGTCACCGGAACAAAGACCGGCAATGTGGCAAGTGTTGAAGATGATTCAGGAGTTAAAGGAGACTGTAATGGCGGAAGACAACGCAACTTTTGGTTACTCATAGTCATTTTCTACATCGAAAAGATTGGGGTACATTAAAGAAAATCAAAACTTGGAGGGGACATCATCTGTAATTTTGGATTTGAAGTATTCGCCCCAAAGCTAAGTTGGAAAATCTTACTAGACTTCCTGAGGCCTAGCTGGAGGTTGAGTTTTATCAGTACAGAAAATAGATTGAATTCATCTTTTGCAATCTCGTATATGTATCATAAATTTGTGAAAGCAGCTTTTCTTTTCCTTTCTTTTTCCCATTGTTTTCAGTTCTCACATTGGCTTTAAACGAAAGTTTCACCGTTTAAATTTAATTATGGTCGTCAAATGTCAAATACTCAAATGTACCCAAAAAGAAGTCTTAGCTTAAACAAATCGGCCAATTCTACTACCTGAATTCTTTCTTTTCAAATTCGGGTACTCTAAATACATTCTAAAATTTAAATATTAATTTTTTTTAAATTATTCCTTCGGACTGGGAAAGAAATAATTAATAAGGATGAACGTTTACGTAAGAAAACATTATAAAATTTTGACAGTCAGAAAGCAGGTGCGGTGGAGGTGATGAGTAGGAGGCATGTCTTCTGAGTTCTGACAGAGGAACCATGGCCATGGGAATTGCCCAAGTGGTGCGGCAGGTGTCAAGTGTGTAATTGTTCAACTAACAAAATTCAGGTGGGAAATCTTAATTTATTACGAGTAATTCTACGCCTATAAATAAATTTATTATTATAATAAATTTATTTGTAGAACGAAAGAGTGAATTTGTTTTTTATTTCACTTTTATTTATTTTTTATCATTTTATTTTATATTAAAAATTTATTTGTAAGTGTACTATTATTGTTATAAATTATTTATATTTGTGCTTTCTTATATCTCATCGAAACCTTAAAGTGATTAAGAATTTTGTGTTTACCCATCTCAGACGTGCAGAGTCGGCCCAGGCCCAACTGCAACTAAAAGACAGACGCAAATTTGATATTGGATTATTGAACAGGCCGATTTAGGCCTCACACGCTACGATTTTGAGTGGTTAAGCCCTTAGAAACCTAATCTCATAAATTCTCATTGGAATAGGTGGTATTTTCAGTCTTTTTCTAATGAATTTCCTAAAATTCAAAGTTTATTATCAAAAAACTAAGAGCTGCCACGTAGGGATTATAAAAGAGAGTTTATGAGATTGGATTGTGAATCGATCTTTATTGATATAATAATAATACACAGCAAGGAGTTGAGTTAAAAAAATAAAAGAAAGATGGATTCAAGTGAGACAAATGAGACATATAGGGCTTAATTTCAATATGTGATATTAGCTTTCCCATAACTGGAAACGTGATGAATGAATTTTACAAGCATTACAAGGCCTTTTGTAGCCTGCAAGCCGCATCACATAAGCCAACCAAAACCGTTAGATTTGGAGCAAGTTGGCACTAATCTAAGGGTCATTAGTAAGACACATGTAAGCTGCTATGCAAGTTGATGAACTATAATGGCAGCTGTCTCTTTGGTGGAATTGGAAAGCCACCCAAATTGCACTTATAGACTTATAGTGTAATACAAAATACTTCTATTATTTTTAAAATAGGAGCTCAGATTTTAAAAATATGCCCCATAAGAGCTCCACCATGGCAGATGGAAGCAACAAGTTCATGATTGACATAAATCTTGACAGTAAGGCGCAAGCTGGTTCGCAGATATTCTCAGATTAATTGAGCACAATTAAAACATAGATAAGGCACAAACTAATGAGCTCATAGTCTTATAAAGAAAACAATTCTTACAATAATATGTACAAAAAAAAACTGAGAAAAAAATAATAATAATTTGAAAGCTCGATGTTGCACAAAACTATTGACTTAGCAAGAGAATTTCTTCCCTTTCATTATAACTAACAAAACCTTAAAAAGAATACAACAAAATACATTATCACATCTACAACATATGCAACGATTCTTAGTCACCCTTTTGCTACTTTCTGTATCTTCATGTGAACCCACCAGCCTCACAAGATGCTCTCAATTATCACTATAAAACTTGAAGATAACATCAGGTGAGTCGCGCAAATTGCAATCTAACGTGTCAATAGTCAATACCATTACACAATGGAAGCACCAACCTCCTCTTCCCTATTCACAACATGTCTGCATCCAAGTGAAAGAAAAAAGACAAATCAACTTAAAGTTATGTTTTCAAGTTTTCTTGCTCAGAAATGTCAACATTAATGAATATGACTGCAAATGGAGCTGCCCTGGTTGAAAAACAAATATTGGAGGTCAAATGTATTAGCCACTCAAGATGGCAGATTCCAATTTCTTTTAAGGGAATAGTTATGAAAATTGTCATGGATTTCTGTTTTTCAAATTATGCAACAAATCATGCAGTCAGCTAATTAATTAACAAATCTACACAGCAGGCTGGAACTGAACCAGCTCTACTTTGAAGTCATCAGGAGTAGCAAATTAATGAATTCCAATGAAGCATGAATGAAGTTTCAGTGCTACTATTGAGGTCAATAAAACACCAAAACAGCAAGAGGAAGATTACCTGCAGTCATTCTTGTTATCACTCGGCCATAGGTCAGATCTTATATAGCAATCTAGATGTATATACAGGAAAAAGAGAGCTGGTGAAGATGAGGTTGTCATGTTATATCACATCTATTAGAGCCTGTTGACGGGGCCTTGACCTCATGATTGTCTCATCACTGTGCTTGATCCATTCTGAGAGTTTCCAAGGCTTCTGCCACTTCCATTTGAACTGAAGTAGCCACTGATGATGGCTCCTCTTCCACCTCCACAGTTTACCAGTTTGACCTACGGTAGCCAGTTTCTTCATTGACAAGTGGCCAACTGGAACCATCTGCATTCACAATCACCTCTACTTTGTTGATCAAGCCGAAAGACCAAATCAAAATGAAACCATTGAGCAGAAAAATTACCTTTCTCGTTTGGTCTAAGAATGCTGCTGACCCTTTAACTGACCCATTAGCAATGCCAGGTGTAAATTTGAGTTGTTTTGGTGCTGGAAGTGACACTGGAGATAAGGGTCCACTCATTTCGTCCACAAAGTGTTTTGATGAATTGCGTGAGTTCCCCTGTAGATTGCCCTTCAAAAGTATAAGAACAATAACCAAAACTAAAAATAGGAGTTCAAAGACAATTTTGTCAAAAAAGTACAGCAGTTTTCATTAGAGTGCCTCAAAAACATTAGTCTCGTATTTCAGGATTGTCTCAAATGAACAAAAGCACCAAGTTAGAAGGTAAATGGTACTGTCAATATTTTAACCCAGATTAGGATGCTATATTGAACTTGCTATTTTCATACTATATCATCAATTACAAAGAAAGATACTAATTTCTTCTACCAGCTTACATGAGAACCTTTTCCAATATATAAATAATAAACTGAGAACTGCTGGGCAGATATCTCACCGAAGGTGGTGTAGCCAAGGCAATGGCAACAGCTTGCTCTCTGATCTTTTGCTCCTTAATGAGTTCTTTTCTCTGGGCTTCACTTTGCTGTAATAAAGCTACAAGCTCATTTAGTTGCTCTTTGATGTCTTTAATTTCCATATCTTTTTCCCACAACTGGCACCTGTTGAAAGATGAGTACTGAAAGTATTAACACTAGAGAAATCACTAATATTTACAAAAGATATCAGCTCTATTTACAGTTGCTCACAGTTGATTCCAACCACTGAAACCAAAATCCAGATGTCATATAGGGTCAGAACGTGACAAAGCCGAGGATTTTTCTTATGTAAAATGGTTCTCAAAGTACATTAATGCATTTATATATTTAAAATGGCCAGATAGCAAGGAAAGAAGATTAAATTGTCTTGCAGTTTGCAGCCTGAAAAAAAATGTTGGAACATCCTAAACTAGGGAGATTTAAAATCTTGCACTCTTGTAAACACAAGACTCAAAACAGCAATTTAAAGGTATACAGAAGACAAGAAACCATGCATCATAATTGTCAACATCACTGGAGAAATCAAAGAAATGGAAGAATATATAGGAGATTCATATCAACAATTAGCTATGGAATGTTTTGATTCTTATGTTGATAATAAGAATAAATTCAAGCAGGAATGGAAGTGTTTGTACAAAAAGGATGCATGAAAATAGGTTTTCGCAGTTTCTTATTTATTAGCTTGTAACAATTTTCTTTTTTTTTTTGGGGTTAAACCACAAGAGTTTATTCTTTTCTATTCAACTATTCATAACGGATCATAAAAAAGATACTTAAAATAACTACACTTATCAGATAAAAATCGTGCAAAATTGCACGAATAACAAGTAAAAATAAAATCATTCATATTCTCACTAGTCACTAGGTTAGTTAATACCTTGTTTGTGCAGCAACATTAAACATATACTGAAGCAAGTACTTAGCATCTCCCATAGAGCGCAAATGGTTCCAACGCCCACGACCAATTAAGGAACGCTCTCTTTCCTCTGCCTCTGAAAGTTGTGAAGCCATCGCCATGAGTGCATTTGAAGACATGCTCAGCATGTTCTCCAGAGAAGCCATTCTAGCCATTCTTGCATTTGGTGATAAGGATAACAATCTAAATGGTTATTAAACACAACTAGTAAGCAGAATAGAATTTATTCCTTGTAGAAGTTAAGACATTGCTATAGTTCAATAATTATTGCTATTATAAAGTATATGGCTAAAGTAAAGGTCTCAGCATTTTCGGTGTAACAGTACACAACATATGGGAGGAAAAAAAAGTTCATAAAGAGAAAAATAGCAGATCAGATACCTGGACTGTCCATTTTTCCCTCTCTGGGGACTATGGCCATTTAATGACAACTGTTCCACTTGTTTCAATACAGATAACTCCTGTGCCAATGCAGCTTGCCTGTAAGAGTTGTAAAAATTTTAGAAATTCATAAACAATTTTGAAAGGTTAAAAGTAGCTAATATAAGAAGAAAAAAGGGCCCAAAACATACACTTGGCTTTGCTTCTCATATTTAAAACGAACTTCATGCACATTCACCGTGACTTCTAGCTCGTGGTCAAGCCACTTTTGGAGAGATTTTTCATTGCTCTAAAAAACAAAAACAGAATTAAAAATTTCCTGTCATTATCTCTGTATCATAATTAGTAATAAATTCTCCAATGAGACACCTTCAGATGGCTCCAGGTTGGGTTTCAAACTGTTCAGGCCAGTTGTTTTCGGGTTAAGAAAAAAAACGAAAAATACAAATGGTTAGTAAGTCAACTAAACCAACCTATGAACCCTGTTATATGGTTGATTGTCTAAATATTTTTTTTTAAACACAATTTTCTCTGGTCAGGAAACCTAACCAACCACAACCAAACAGGCTGCTGGATATGAAAAGGCATTGACTAATCAAGGTTAACATGCAGCAGTATGAGGACTGTTAAGTGTAAATTGTGTACCTGTCCATTTGGTGTATGTCCATTGGAATTAACTGAAAGACATAACATCAAAATTAGGAAATAAGCAAAGACTGAATGATTACAAAACAAAAAGAAAATGATATTCACCTGAGCTGTCACGTGTAGATGACTTGCGGGCTTCCAGCAACTCCTTTAGCCTTTTGGTAGCCATTGCCGCCTCCTCAGTCTTTCTTTGAAGAACCTGTAAGAAGAAGTGCAATGATCAGAAACAGTATGAATCTCTATGACTGCATCTCACAGAATCAACAGAAGACACAGACGCAACATGTGTTGTAATCAAAGATGAAAACACTTGAGTTTGACTTTCTTTAGGCAGAAAGAAATACTTCTATGATTGCATCTCAATGGTGTCACTTTTTCAGAGTTTCCAGGCTGATTCTAACTCTTGTTCACCTATATATATTCTGTCAATTTCATACTTGATGATTTTCACTTATTTTTAACAGAGGTTTGGTTAATTACAGTTTGAGTGTACCTTCTTCATCTTCTATTTGCAAAGTTCAATTCTTTTTCTTTTTCCCACCTTTTAAAAAAAAATTCTTGGTCATATTACTTTTACATCTTTTATCCTATTGTTTTGACCTCATACTTACCTTACTATTTGTCAAAAGAAAGAGAAGAATGGTGTCATCTAATTATCTCTATCTTTTCCATCAGCTTTTACCCTAAGGCTGAACGGGATCAATCCTCACTCACAGTGCCATAAAGTTGCCTAAACACTAATATAACTAGGTCAGAATAAAGCTATGACTGGATGTCCAGTGATTAACATTTCAAAGATCATTAATCATCCAAATCCCACGGGAATATTGGTTCAGATCAATAGCCAATCTAAATCCAAGATATATAAAAGTCTGGCACCAAATCCCACTTGAACCCTGTATTTGAAAAGCAAAAAAAGGTGCACCAATATTTTTCACAGTGGACCAACCAAGAGATCTACACATAGGATAAAAGCCCCATGTACTGAACTAGAAACTGGGGATCCATAAAAAGTTTCTTTTTTTTTTCTCTTTTACTGCCCAAAACTTCCCTGACCTCTTCTTAGCGTTCATAAAGTTCTAAACTAATTTGTGCTATATAATGTCTTGACCTCTTGACGAAACCAAAGGTCTTACCCATTCAACCCAATCTTCAGGGTTGCAGATCAGCAAAACACTAATGAGTATTCTTTCCATTAGATAGACATTACAATACAGAATCATGACACACGTTATCAAACAATTGCAAGAAATAATTCTTTTACCATTTTCTGGCGTTGATTCAGTGCTTCAAGTTTATGTCGCTCATATTCATTTCTCCTTCCCTCCTTCTTGAGCTGTTTCAGAAATATAAAAATAAAATTGTGGTCAAGAAATATACATACAAAATGCAAAACACAACATAAAAGAATTCAGTACAATTAAAATTTAAAAAGAAATTCAAGATCACGGCAATCAAAAGTATAGAAACATGATTCCAAATATCATTACGATCAAGAAGAATGATCAGGTCAACAAAAGCACTGGAAAATTTCTACAAATGATTTAGAAAGTGAAGATAAAAACATTGTAATGGCTTCAGTTTCAGTTTTAAAGAAAAAAGAATATTCCAGTCTCTTTTGCTGGAACATTTAATCGGGAATTATTTATCACAATTGATCTATTATGTGTTTCGTGTGTCATGTGTCACTCCAATAAGCACATTATAAATTTCCAAACCACATGCAATGAGAATCTGTCCAAAAGAAATGGACTTCAAATGAAAGCAGAGACTTAGTTGCAAAGTTAAAACACTTCTTTTTACCAGAAATCTTGACTTAGTGATGTATTACAATACATTGTGAAGCATGATTTTTGAAACAGAAAATCCATTGCATTTGAAAATACTTAAAACATTTGACAACTAAAATTTATTGTAGTCAATCACCTGAAGCAATTCCTTCTCTCTAGAGGCCTTCCATTGTCGGAATTGCTCTGATTCTTGTTTTATCTTATGTTGCAGCTGAACCTGCAATGCAATGAAAAAGCAGAAATATCCCAACATCATAAATATTGTGGTCACTTGTGTAGTTGATCTAAACTTGGTAAAAGCACCAAAAATAAAGCCAACCTTTTGAGCCTTGATATACTGAATTTCAGCCTGCAACCGCTTTGCTGCTTCATCGCTTTTTTGTTTTTGCTTTAAAAGCTCAACCTGGCTTTCTTGTTTCTTCTTAAGTTCTAAAATCTGAATTTGACAACGAAATTAGACAGCAATTAAGCAAGAAATCAAGTTCATGGCAATAGATTGATAACTAAATAAAAGACATTCTCACCTGTGCCTCAAGTGATTTTAATTTCTGAGCATGAATATCTTGCGTTTTGTTCATATGACCATCAGAATTGGCAGCAAGGTTCTCCACTTCAGTCAACAAACGGTCTCTCTCTTGCTGTGACAGTACTATATAACATCAGCAATTGAAGTGAAGGTGTATTTAATAACTAAAATGGAATAATTTCCGACTTAACCTGCACAATCCTTTTCTCTTCTTCGAGTTCAACAATTTTCTTCCCAAAGTGCTGCTTGAGTGCTTGAGGGTCAATCCCTCCAAAGAGTTTCATCTCAGACTACATTGAATTAAAAACGGCAGGGCAGATGTTAGATTAAAGATTTTGGATTAAACTCTGTTAATTAAACTCTGAGTGCATTTTCGGATGATTTGTAAAGACTAACAGAAAATTAAACGTTCATGTTATAAGGTGCTTCGGGAGCAATGACATTGTATGGCTGGCCACAGGAACGATATATGCTCGGTGATTACTACACCAGTTCCATATACAATATGTTTGTCATCATTAGCAACTTAGTTCAACAAAAAACCAAGATGAAGTAGGATATGATAACTAAAATCCCAACAAATACCTTGGTTTGCAATTCTTTATAATCAGAACCCTACTTTTGGATATAACTAACTTTTGTGGCTCCTAATGCGGAAAAAAGCTTAAATTATTGGAAATTGAGGAACCAAAAGGTAATTGAGGAACCAAAAGGTAGTAATGATTTCCCAAGATATCCAATACATAATGCTGAAAATCTAGGGGCAACAGATGTCATTCAACAATATTGGTTATGCATGCACACTTAATCCTTTTTTATAGGCTACAGCCATAGAGGTAATGTAGAATGTTGTTAATGATGCAAATGTGAGCAATCCTAAGACACATGTTCAGGAATATCCAAACTTGTCATTACCTTTTAAACTTTTTGCGCAGACCAACATTATACATCATGTGATGAATTCCTAGGTACATACCAATTTCAATTTCTCATGTAAACATAATTTGAGGTTTAAAGTGTTCTCTTTCAAGCCTACAAATAAACAATAAATATCTATGAATAATTTTACGACTGCGGATAAATCAAAGCCTATAAATAAAACCTCTTTCTGCTCCAAACGCTTGTTCAACTCATTCAATTCTTTATCCATGGTACTTCGCCGAAGTGCATGCTCCAATTCTTTTGCTACTTCTTCCATTTCCCCAGAATTTCCATCTGCATAAATGGAAATTTTGCCCAAATTCAGTAAAAAAGAAAAAGAAGAAAAAAGACAGGGAGTGACATGATAAATTACAGTTTTAATAGATAGAGCCATCACCAAGATGATATGGCACATCAGACACACCCACTCAATAAACCCCATCCAAAACAGTAGTAGTATCAAAAGCAATATTTAGGGGACGAGCAATGAAACTTTACCAAAATAAGTAAAAGGAAAAGCCAATAGTGTTCCATGCTTTATCTACAGGAAATACTGCTAAAGTTCATTCACTTTCACTTCCAGTATCCATAATCTAAAGTGGTCTTTATTACAAAATAAATAGAGTAATATCACACATTCCAGCTTCATCAATTGTTAGAACATTTGTATATATATTATTTGTCACATTATCTCATTATCCACAAGTCAATGCAATTAAAGTTTCACCTCAGTTCAGATAAAGAAGTTGGGATCCATAGTATTACTCAAACTAATTGGTGGTTCACCTGATGTGACTTCATCCATTTGGTAGTCAGATGAGTCCATACTCTGAAAGCCCCTCTTAAGACCATCGCTTTTGACAATACAGCCAGGACCTTCCTGAAATATATAAAAGGAAGAATAGACATAATAATCATCCAACATCGTGATAAATATGTCACTGAACTAATAACATGAACATAAAATAAAAAAAAAAATTGTATTAGTATTAAAGTGTATGATTGTCATTCAAAATAATACAAGGGGTGGAAATTTGAGAAAACATCAGGAAGGAGAAAATAACTGATAAACAACTGAAGTTTCTCTTGACATACTTGAGCATCAATTTCACTGTCCCCCACAACTGCACGTCTGCTGCGATATTCATGAAGTTCTCGACAAAGGTCTTCATTGGTAGCCTCCAGCCAAGCAATTCTATCTTTGAGAACCTATTCAACCAAAAACATTACGTGAACCATTAAACAAACCCAAAGGTATCTTCACTTAGAGGAAGAAACAACTAACTTTGAGCAAAGATAGATTTATAGAAGGCTTGATACCTGCACTGTATCTGATGGAGATTCTCCAGCACGAGCACCAAGTTCAGCTTGTAAGAACTTTAGCTGCTCACGCATCTTTTGCATCTCATTGGATATTAAATCTCTATTAACCTGTACAATAAAAAAAATAAAGGAAAAAAGAAAAGAAAAGCTTTTTTCATTGTGAAAAAGATATATGGAACTTAAAACTAGATCAAGTTTCCCAATCTATAAATTGCAGTCTAGGGAGCATAACTAACAAGATATGAAAAAGTCAAATGCAAGAACTCACAACAGGTTTATTCTGAATATTACGAGCACGGTTTGCATATTTCAGAGTGTTAAGACTTTCCTCAGCATTGATGTCAGCAGGACTTACACAAGCTATAAAAAGAGTAACATTCACAGTATATAAGGAAACGAAAAAAGAACATATAATTTCAAAACTTGTAGTTACAAGCATAAAATCCCAATTGACAATCAAAGGATCGCTTAAACATTTACCTATCATGACAGTTTTGCTGTTCCCACCAAGCGAATCCTGCCAAAAGACATATGTAAATGTAAATCAGAAAGTTCTTGAAAAAGAATAAAACAAGCCAAAAAGAGAACAAACTTCCATTAACTAGTACTTCATCACTTCATAAATCATAGTAGATCATGGTGCATTTATTACAGGCCAGAAGAAAAGATCAAAAACAAGTATCAGCTAAAGGCCTAAACAATGAAGAAATAGCAAATACTCAGCCTTGATATGGATGAGGATAATTTTATATATATATATATATATATATAAAAGATAAACAAGAAGATAGAAATTCACAGTTTTGAAACAGATATTAGACAAATACTCATGAGCATGTGCTATTAGACAATATACCGTTAAGATCTAACAAAGCATCAGATAGTAGAGAAGAAGCCAGATTTAATTAGATTTTTATGAGGCTGAATGATCCTATTTAATGTATGTTAGATTTGATGTATCCTCTGAAGACAACTATATGTATGTTACTTAGAATATGACTGATAGAGATAGAGCTAGAGCGAAACATAAACTTGTATGATTTAAATATCAGGTCATCACTTAATATGCTAACATCAGCATTGAGATTTAGTAAGTAAATTATACTCTTAAACAGCTCAATCAACACATCAACACATAGTAATCATACCTGTAAGAGTCGAGTCAATTTACTGTCTCGGTATGGAACATGCACACCCTCTTTCCGCTTTTTCTCATCTCCTAATGCGCTGATGACATTACCAAGTGCAAGAAGTCCTCTGTTAATATGAATACCTGTAAGGTAATAGAAAAAGTGTTAATCATCATTATCATTAGCACAAATAGAAATACAATAAGAGATAAGTAGATATACCAACCTTCTTTCAAACGTAGACCGTCAGAACCTGTTCTCTTAGCTCGTTCTGATCCAGCAAGATCAACCAAATGCAGCTTTGCACAGAAATATTCTTCACCCATATCTTCATCTGGAGTGTCATTATCAGGAGAAACTGAATGGACTTTACGCATCTGTTCTAATGTGATTGTGAAGATTGCATGGGACCGACTTTTATACACATGCAGAGGAATCACATGCCCCATCAGATTATGAAGATTCATTAATTAGTTATAACAATGAAATCTGCTCTTCCTAGTAGAATTTAAATTATTTTCTTTTTTACAAAAATCAACTAAAATAATTGCAAGTTTCAGCAACAACAATATCGATTTTTTTTTTTTTTATAATATTGCACTGGAAAATGAATTCAGGTAGTAGAATTGCCAATCTCAAGTCAAGACCACTACATAAACATCATTATCTTAAACAAAATGATGCTTGAAATCATGGTGTCCAACTTAGTTTACCATAATACAAATCCACTAGTATTTTGTTTATGAAGCCTCCTCTTTTGTTAAATAGTCATGTACCCATGGTCAAACATAGAGGTGCTGCTGTGAAAATCTGGGAAGGACTAGAAAGCAAATACAATGTCTAGATAATTGTATAAAGGAAAGATGGTGATCTATGCTAGAGCTAAATTTCCTCGACAACAATATTCTTTAACACACAATCAAAATTAACACCCTCAAACCAGAAATAAGTAGACAGCACTCCTGTCAGAATTTTCTAGGATGGAAAGAAAAGATTGAATTTCCTAGGTTTACCTGGATTGGTTGTTCATATTTGTACTTCCCGTTGCCCGGCTTAATGATCCTTGCTCCAGGCAAGCAGCCATTTCTTGTAAAGTATTAATGGCAACTTCAGTTGATCCTGCTAGTGTTATGACTCCATTTGATGATTCACGAATTTGTATTGGAGGCCTTCCAGGAACATTAACTTTCCCAGAGTGTCCATTAGTAATCACTGACTTATTCACAGATACAGAATCCAGCAAGTCCCTCACTTCTTCCTTGAAAATCTTCAGATTCAAAACCTCTAATTAATCCTCAGCAATGAATTTTAAAACACAAGAAAGAGCAGTCTTGAACGAAAATAAGGGAGCCAGCCATCACATTCTAGCTTGAAACTAATAGCTTCAAAACTGAAGCAAAATAATAATGATAATAATGATACAGTGAAAGTACCTCAATGAAGGAAACATGTAATTGGAACTCTGTTTGATGTCTCAATGTATCAATTTTATTGAATAATGCATTCATTACTTGAGGAATCAATCCTGTCTGAGTACCTTCTTTAAGGCCAGTACCCATGGTGTATGTTTTGCCAGATCCTGTCTGCAACATTTGTAAATGTCAACTGTAATAAAAGCTTCTGCAAACATAAGGCAATTTTGTACAGAGTAGATATTATTACCTGACCATAAGCAAGCACGGTAGCATTATATCCTTGGAATAAACCCTCAACAAGAGGAGCCGCACATTCTTCAAACATGGCAGAGGACGGAGAGCCACCATTTCCATAGACATGATCAAACGTGAAGGAATGTGTGCCAATTTGTACCTGCGGCACACCCGTTACCATTTTAAGTAACTCGTGATAGTAGCTAGAAAACCACAAAGGTAAATCAAAATTTGATGTATTCACATGAATTTACATAAGTTTCATCGAAGAATGCAGACCTTTCAGCTTCAATTATTGTAATTAGCATGATTTTTGAACAATTCAGTTTCGACTTGACTTCCAGAGTCTTATTAAACTGGAAACAATCTTCTTACTAATAGTGAGATTGGATATTGTAAACCAGTTATTAAATTGCCCTCACAGTTTAAGCTAAAAAATCCATCTCTTTCGTATAAGCTAACACAAAAACAGCTAAGTGGAATATTTATGCATGGATAATCAAGCATATTTGACTAAGAAACAACAAGATGATTTCCGTCATAAAATAAGCTTCAAAAAAAATGAGAATGCAATAGAATTGTTTAATTCTTAAGAAAATAGCTGAAAGCACAATCGATTTAGTTAATCGGAAATGAAATTGTGAAGTGGTGAAGTCACCTGAGGCTTTCCAGGCGTGACAGTAACACATTCTTTACAACCTTGGGCACGTTCATCGCCAATTAAGGGACGTATGTGAACGGCAACCTTAACACTACAATTCTCGGATGATGTTTCCATGATGTGTGATAAAAGTGAGAGAGAAAGAAACTCAGAAACAGACAAAGATAGTTTGATTAATTTAGCAGGGAAAAATTAATCGCATTGTCTAATCAGTTGAGATTAGGATGAAGGAAAACGATGCAGCAACAGAAGAGCAGAGAAGCTTGGGTTTTAACAGAGAGAGGTAAAAGAAAAGAAAGTGGTGGTGGTTGTTGTTGTCGTTGTTGCTGCTGGTGGTTTGGTAACTGAGAAAGTGGAAGCTGAAGCTAGGCGCGGATTGGGCTTTTGTTTGAAAATTAAGGAGAAGAAGTAAGTTACCGCAAGATAGAAGAAGGATATCAACATTCAACAACTACTGATTGATTACTATCATTTTCATTTTCCTTGTGCTTCACTCTCTCTCAACTCTCTCTATTCTTTTTCAGTCTGACTGACCATGCTTTACTGTTAGGTGTACTTTGTTGTGCTTATGCTGTTTCTTTTTACCATTATGCCCTTCCGCTCTGGGCTCCACCCTCCAAAGTCCACAGGCTAATTAATTTATTATTTCTTTTCGGGAAAAAGAATGATTATTGTATTTCCCTAATTAATATTCACACGCTATTTAGGCGGAAAATTATACCATTTCTTGTCCTATTAAATCATTATTTCTAATAGATCTATAAACATAATTAACAATTAATTTACACATATGACTGAAAAAAATCGCACGGATCTGACATTTATCCCGATCTTATAAAGAAAAACAGTAGATTTCATTTATTATGTCTGGTGTTTTTTGGGTTCATTCATTACATGAGTACAGTTTGGTAATAGACTCAACTGTCCTTGTTATTTCCCTTCATTTATCACATTTCTCTGCGCGCTGTTCTGGCATTAAACTACAAGGGCCAAAATTCTGTGATTGTAGCATGATAAATGAATAAGAATATTAAAGATGGATTAACCACTTGATAATAGAAAAACAAAAAGGGAGGTTCTCTAAATTCATAAGTTTGAATCTTCCATACTCTAACAAGAGTGGCAATCGAAAGGTTATTGATTATTCGTTTATCTTTTCAGAATCCTGAGAGATGATGATATATATATATATATATTAAAGATCGATTTACGAAAAGACAATTTGAGATTAAGAAAATATTTGACAATCACATAACATGATAGAAATTTAAAAATGGATATCAGTTTGTTATAACTAATAGAATTCATAAAGAAGCCTTGTTATTTTATATGCATATTGGGATTGACTGCCAGTCGTCCTTTTAAGGAGCCAATGGAATTTGTACAAGAATAAAAAAGAGTTGGTAACTAATTATCATTCACCTTCTCACTATTTTAGAATTAAGTAATTTTAAAAATATGTTGCAAGATTCGTTACCAAGAAAAAAAAAAAGAGTTTGAAAGCGTTAAACCTTGGCTGGCAATGGTGGACGGTGAAATAGAGAGGCAGAGAAGAAGTAAAGGGCAAAAAAGAACCGAAAGCGATAGCCATATAGCAGCAATAAGCCATTGGGGCCTACCTCACATGGCATCTCTACAGCCAGGTGGTCCTACTCACTGTCAGACACCACCGGGTACTACTTTGTTATTGGTAAGTTTCAGTTTTTCTCTTTTCTGTTATTCTGTTTCTGCCCGGCCACGGTTAAACACAAGCTTTACATGCTGTACGTTTGTTGAATTATTATTCCTTACTTCACTACAAATACCAACTCACCGATAAGGCCAAAATATGCAACCAACTCCCGCAAATCAACGACTTTGTTTAGATCATCAATTTTGAATTATGTTGAAAAAGCCATCACTGAACCAACGGTTCAATCAAGACTTTTAGATATATTATCCAAAAAGTCTTGATTTTAACCCATTTCAGTTATTAATAGAGGTTTTCATTATTGGAATTCATCTAACTATCAATTTTAAGGTCTGAGAAATTAGTTAAGGTGTATACAAGCTCACTCAAATACCCTGATTAGCAAAAAAATAAATTCTATTGAAAAGTCTTTTGATTTTATTTTGGTGCCTAAAAATAATTTTGTTTAGTAGTTGAACCATGAAAATTAAATCTAAAGTTATACTTTCTCTTTTTTTAATATAAATCACATTGCTTGAAGCGTGGATTCTGGTAACATTTTAAGTCAAGCAAACTGCCCCACGAAAAATGACTGGCTAGGTACCTTTTACTTCAATCTTCTTTGTCTAGAAGAAATTCTAATTAACCTCAAAGTTTCCCTTAATCTGAATACCTAATCCTCAATTTATACTTCATTCGACCGTTAGCTAAAGCAACCTCAGAAAGTTGACCACTTATATGACTTGAAATAGTCAAATACATTTTGTTTTAGATTAGCTAGTTTAAGTGATGTAATGTAATTAGTTTAACAGATTAATATAATCTGGTTGTTAAAATGTCTTGGTCTGCACCAACCTTATTTCTGCCAAAAAAATAATATGAAATTAAGAAATAATTTGTGGGTTTAAGGTCGGCTTGAGAAAAAAAAAATAATAATAATAAAACAATTGTTTATTTTGCCGGTGAGTTGAGAAGTCATGATTTTGCAACGTTGATGGGAGGGTTTGTTAGGCTGTTATAAAATGATAAGATTTAAGAATTAAGAATGGCTTCAATTGCAGGGAAATGATATATGCATCCACTTAAATCATTCCTTTACTAGAAAGCAATTTACACACTATTAATAGTCCATTTTGACTGAGCGTTACATATAATTTCAAGAAAATGGTTTTCATGAGTTCATATACTGTATGAAATATCAAATATACACCAAAGGCAGTTTTTAGAGAATCTGAGTTTAATTCTGATGGAATTGGCGACTACTTCAACAATGAAGGATTCGCTAATAAGGGACGATGCACACATGGCTTCTAAAAGGGTTTGATTTATACAATCTCTCATTGTTTACGCAACATGTTCCTGAAAATTTGAAAAAGTTGGTCAGATTTTCTACTAAACTATTGATAATACTTTCTTTTTGACCCTAAGTTACTAAGTTTCAGGAATAGAGATTGGTGCTCATAATGTTGATGCATGTTGAAGTGAGATTAAGAATTGAGTATTTATCATGTGCAGCCATTTGGTCCAACTGTAAAAGGTATCCAATGCCATTCTTTTAGTAACACTTAGGTATGTGTGAAACATGGGAAAGATCAAAAGTGACAATAAAATTTTCATCTCTGTCAGAAATACATTTATATATCTGGACTCTTATTAAATTTTGCAGTGATCACTCGGTAACTGCAAAGCTAATAGAGCTGTGGTCCATCTCCAAGGCAAAACTTGGGAAAAACCAGAGTTTGGCTCCATTTAATTTGTTACATAGAAGAATGGAGATTATACAATACTCTTTATTCTTGCTTCTCTGTTCTTTCCCAATATTTCCCTTTCTGAGAAAAAAGAATGCAATGGTGCGGTGCCTTCAGCTCATGTGGGTCTTTTCTTCACATGCATGTTCCCACTTTTTGATCCGATCATTCTCATTGAGTTTACTAGCTTTTATTCAGTGTCAATGATATCTTGGGCTCCCTGGGATCCAATAAGATCTAATTAGGACCTTATAAGTTAGTTTGACACTTTGACTCAGACAAACACTCTCTAAATGAATCAAAAGCTGTAGTCTCGAAAAGTGGGCATCCTATTGCGATGTATATGAATGATGAATTATAATGTAGATTAATGATGGGTATGGTCCTCTGAGTCTGAAGCCAAGCCAAAACAAAACCACCCCGGTTATTATTGCTTTAGTTTTGCTTAACTTTTATTCTGAATGACATTTTTTGTCTTAGAGATCAATGCAATGTCTCCAAGCTTTATAATGCTCAGAGCTTTTATCTTTCTTTTTCCCTCTTTCCAGCCCAGCTTTGAAGATTCACAAACAGATGCATGTGCACCGCTTCCTCTTCTCATCAGTATGCATAAATTACCCTAAAGCACTGGGGTACCATTACCACTTTTGCATTCGACTTTTCTTTATCGTTTTCATCCTCAAAAACCCCATTTTATTGGCTGCCGAGTTTCTGTTCTGATAACAAAGTTTGAGTTCAACGGCTTTATCCCAGCTTCGGTTATTCAAGAAATCAAGAGTTCTACGGCTGTCCATACGGATAATTAGAAACTTTACAATATGGACTCATTTCTGCACATCAAGTGATACATTTCAACTACTATATATTAAGATAAAGTTCTAGCATGATGAGTGATGACAAAATATATACAGAAAACATCTTTTAATTCCAGTCTTTGCAAGAATCATATAGCCATAATACAATAATTAAGGTTTTCTTAGTCATATATCCATAATCTCCTGGGCCCTTCATTTATTCAATAAAATATAATCAACATTTGAGTTTTGATAATATCATGTGATATTTTCATAAAAAAATTTAGAGTTAAAGGACTTTTTTTCACCCAAATAATGATTTAATTATATTTTTTCACCCATAGACTTTTATATTCCTACGGCGAACAGAGAGCAAACTTGGTTCAAACTGTTGGGGCTTTTGAAAATGTGAGGCTGATGAGTCTTTTAGTGGTGGAATGTTGATTTTGGTGGTTGGGATTGATTGAAATTTGACTTAGGAGGGACGACTGTATAAACCCTAATTGCTCAATTGTCGGAGATTAGCAAGGTCGACGGAAGTAGGGTTTGAGGGGTTTTGTTGAGTAACGATCAAGGAAGAGAATGATGGTAGTGTAAGGTCGCAATCGATGATGAAATAAAATATAAAATATAAATTTATATAATAAAATGGTGATTTAAAAGTCGGTGAGAAATTGTTCATTAAGCCACATTATTTGGGCGCAAAAAAGTCGTTTACTCTAATTTTTATTCAAATAAGGTAGGACCTTAAGCATTTGTTATGTACTTATGTTGCGGGAAGGTTATCAAGAGGGAGACACGATTTTGTTTTTAGTCAAGATTTTTTAATTCATTACTCAATTACTCAAATGTCTTACAAATCTAATGGTGGGAAATTTTTTTTTTATTTAAAAAAATTTAATTAATTAATGTACTTGAATATGAGCATCACATCATTAAGGTGATTGATTATCCTCAAAAACATGAATCTTTTAACATATTGACTGTGACATTATTTGCTTAAAATGATCAAGTTGAAAGCTAGCTAATTAGGGCCACCTAATTAAAACCTTATCTTGGTGGGTCTTACAAGCAATAATGAATTTGATCTGTATATGAAATATTTTTTCATACCATAAGATGATATCCAAATTAGTGGTCAAATAACTTTAGAGCTCATCGGCCAACTTCATTTGTCATTATCACTTTGTAAGAGTGGCTGCAATTTCAAGAGTAAAAGTGTTACAACTATTTTTCCTCTTTTTTCCCATCTCATTTTTCCACCAATTGGATGTTGTAACATCAAATTTTTCGATTCTTTAA